CACTCCAATTCCAGTCCTGAAATATCTTTAATAACCAGAGTAAATAGATAGGAAGATGGATGGACAGCCCAATGGTGAGGATAAATAGATAAACAAATACAACATTACTTGGTAGCTTTTTAAGTGTATTTACAATAAATTGTGCACAACAATTGGTTAATTCTCAGCTGTTCAAATTCAGAGGATTATAGCCTGAAAAACTCAAGACATTAATTACTAGGAAAAGAAAATTGTTTCAAAAATCTCTAGGAAAACTTTCAAGCCTCTATATTATTTGTTATAAGGATTTAAAAAAATACAATTGACTATGTTGTAAATAATACATTGAAAATATGTTGTCATATAGGTCAAAGTTGCCTGAAATGTATTTTCACCAGTACTTTAGTAAGGTGTACCATCATCTATAAAATGCCAAATGTAAATTAGCATGTAAATCACTAATTACTTGCATACAATACAATATCATAGTATATGTAAATGATTGTTTTAGAAATGGGTCAAGCTTAATTGCTAGAAAGAAGTCATAGTTATGTCAGTCAAACATMATTTTGAAGCTGATGATCCACCTTTAAATAAATAATTTCAGAATTAATCTACACCTAATTGCAAAACAAATGTCATAAGGAAAACAAATATTTGTGCCTTAGTAAAAGGGATTATTATATGACCGTGTAACTAGGAGTCTGGGCACTAGCAAATGAAGGCATTTGATTGGCCGAATTTGATTTTGCTCCGGTCTATATTTTCCTAGGTAGACTGGTCCGAGGCCTGTACAAATTGAAATTCATTTGAAGAGAAAACAAAACATTTTGACTACCAAGTTTTGTCATTTGAATTGTCGATAAGCGTACAGACCATAGAAAAGCGATTTCAATTTTTTTACCATAATAAAGCCGAAAACCTTTGCGAAAACAAAGTAAAACTTTCAAAAGAAAATCATTTCTAGCGCGCTCCGACCCTGTGTGCGAGCAAGTCGTCATTTCATCGGTCTGAATCAGGTTTTGAGTCCTGTTTTTTAAATGTTTGCCGTGCTCATTTTTAATTTTTTGTCAATCGGTCATATAAAAAAATCCTTATTAACCGAGCTTGCTTGGTCTGTACGGGAGAATCTTGACTTCGGTCGGGTACAGACCTCTCTGCGCTCGGTCAGTAGTTCAAGATTCTCCCGTACATATCTTGGGCTCGGTTAATAAGACCTAAATACAAGATTGAAAAAAAGCAAAAATAGACAATAAAAAAAGAGTTCAACCTGATGAGTAATCTTCTATTGTAAAAAAAAAATAAATAAAATAACTCCCTTTTAGCTAAAGCTCAATTTTTAGCAAATTTGATAGACATGATAAAAAATGTATTTTCATTTTTGATCTCACTCAGTGAAAAAACTCAAATCCTTCATATTGTAGTTATAAGGGTGCCCGGTTGTTTCGAGACATTGCCAGTTCGAGACAGGTTGTTTCGAGACACATCGTATGGACGGTTCGAGACATGTCTATGGTCACTTCGAGACACATATAAAAATAATA